GTTGCTAACGTGACCTGCTTGTATAGCACTGTATCTTAGTTTGTTATGGTTTGCTACTAATTGCGAAAGTAATATAAATACACGATGTTTTCAATCGCCTTAAAGACGAATTCCGGTCAACGCGGGTAGCCTATTACGATGGTAAAGCTTCGTACTTATCAACAGCTTACTAATAATAAATTATACATGTTGCACAAACCCGAAGGTACAATATGTAGTCATCTTACATTTTTTTTAATTCGAGGACGGAACACTTTCTACCCGAAATGGTCGAATTAACTTCTCTGATATGTAAGGAAACATACTGAACTCATGTTATAGTTAGCGATGTCATCCCTTGTCGTTTACCCTAGACACCAATTACGACCTCATTGTAAAGCGTTTATTTTCCTTCAGTATGTTGACCCGTGTTAGCTTTTCAGTCTAGTCTACCAATAGCTTAACTTAAGTTGTTTTACTTTTTGAACGGCTTATACGTGTTCATCAAGTAAGTTAAGCAGATATTGTTTCCGGATGGAACTAGCAATAAATTGAAAGGCATAGTAGCGCCCGTAATGGGATCCGAACTACGAGCAATGGCCGATAACCCCCTAGAAGTTGTATCAAATTTCAACTTTAAGATTGCATTTGAAGTTCATCTTGCAGCAGAGATTTTCAAATTTGTAGGATCTCGACGATGTCAGTCACGAGCGAGCCCGCCTTCTAACCCACGATGCATGAGTGCGTTCATAGGCATACATTCGCCCACGTGCAGAACTATACCGGCAAGGCATGGATGCGGTGAAGGCCACTGAGATTCAGTTGATGTCGCCTGTCGGCTTCGAGATGCGGGCTGTCAAAATGTGCTGCTAATCCTGTTTCGTGTATAGTGTTCCTATCATCACGAGCAACAGCTGCCATGAGCTTGCAATATGAGCTCCATAATCCACTAGGGGACAGGTGACCGCTAGGGTTTCAAACGGGTCGATACAACCCACGCAGTAATAGTGGTTACGTGCACTAGCGGCCAGAAAAAGAGGTTTCTACGTCTTCTAGATAATAACATTTTGCCATCGCTTATTTAACGCCTATAACAAATCAGTTGTGTGTTAAAAAAAAAAGCCTATATTTTTTTTAAGAAATAGCCCGTGTAGCGTTACTATCAAACGAGCAGTACTTTGTGATAAAAAAAAAATTAAAAATCTATAATTGCAAGATCTGTTTATATCACCTCTGCTTTCTAGTTCCCTAACAATAGTATATTAGTCGAAGTTCGGATCTCGCTAGTAGCTTCTGCGTTACATGTTTCATTTCTTAATCCGACATGATCACAGATGTTCTGCCACAACTCGCGTTTTGATCAGGTGATTACATACCTCCAAAGGCTGGTCTGGTCGTAGTTGCTTTTTGATCATTAAAAAATATTTTGTGTCATTTACTAGAAAATATTTTACTGGATTTCCTAGACAGGGGAGAATGAGTGCCCATTTCGATAATCATGTATCGTTGTCAGCGAAGCTAGATGTGTCTTTTGTGCTCAGTTTAATACACTTGATGTTTGCTAAAGTTTGCCATTGTTATTAAAGTTAGTTTAACTTCTATTATACGTGTGCCATTGATTAATGATTATCGGTATCGACAAGCTTCTGAGCTGAGACGATGACCCAAATATCGAACTTCAATGAATATGCAACGAAATGCCAATGTCTATCTAACTAGCTAATTTATACAATATTGTCAATATTTTTTTTTTTATCAACGATATTAGCACACAGTATAACATCTAATTTTGTGTTTACCGCACTGACCCTGTTGTACTACTGTCTCCTTGAAAGGTAGCAGAACTTTAGGCCGGCACAACAGCAGCAGCAATGGCGTTAAATGACCTTTGAACGATAATTCTCTTTCTTTCATTAAATTTGCTGACAGCAAAAGCAATGTTTCATTCGAATTAAATCTATCGGTCCATTTACACGGTGCATTGCAAGCATGGAAGCGAAAAAAAACCAAACAGCTTTTAATAGCTACTTCAATTCTCGTGGTTATAGTTTCACTGCGACTCTTCCCACTGACACTCCCCTTAGCAGGTGGTGTTCCGCTACAGTAACCCCATGCAAAATCTTCATATATGGCCGTCCCCCATCGTGCAGCGCAAAGCACCCATCGCTGTACCCTCGCGCACGACCTCCATAGCGACGTCGCTCGTACACCGTAGCCCGCACTACTGGAGCATAGCTACACATGTTTGTGATAAGTCACATTATGGCCTCTAAGTTGCTCGCTGAAGAGGAGAGAATTCGAGCAGTTTATCGACGGCCCACTTGCTATGTCATATGAGGCTACGAAAAGCTCGGGGTCACTTGCACGAAACACGAAAGCACTATAGAAATGGAGAAGGCCCGTGGAGAGGCAAGTAAAATAATAAAGCAAGGGCGGTATTACAGTCAAGGAACGCACAATGCGTTTCTTCTTCTTCTGCTGCAGACGCGCCAGTTGCTGTCCGGAACGATCTCGCACGCGCGTCTGTCAACGGCAGAGACGATTCATTGCCACGAGCGTCGCTCCATCCGATCACTCGCCATCCCTCTGAACAGGGAAAAGCCGGGACCTCTGAGGGACAGATGTCCGCTTGTAAACTACGATGAAATCGCAGGATGTGTCAAAGTACCAGACAATACTAAATAGCGATAGGGAAGGTGTACTTAGACTAGAAGGCCTATGGTTAAATCGTTGACTCAATGAGCAAACGAAAATTCAAAGGCGACGGGGTATGTCGCTGGTTACCGCGAACAGCATGTACTGCCGTATACTACTATATACTTGTAAAACGTTATCACTATGAGCGTTGTCTGTCATCAACAGTACGGCCGCCATCGCTGCAAACCGCGGCAATAAGGTCGAGCCTGGGTGCTCGCGGTGACAACTGCTGTGGATGGTCCTGTTGCTATACGGACAACACGAGCTATAATATATGGCAATCATCTACTAGTTAAGATATCAGAGACGCATCATTTAACTTGACTTATGGATAATAATATAACTTATTATATATTATTTAGATGCATTCTGACGATGGGTGATGCAGCAGAAAGTGAACAATGCCAACTCTGTGGTATTGTCAAAAGTCGCACGAGAGGCACTGGAAGTTTCTACCAATTATTTCATCGTGTTGGCGGGTAATAGTATTAACGATATCTGCTGTTACATTTGTAATGTCTCACGAGACAGAGGACACACACTGAAATCTTGCTTGGGGGTTATCTAAAATTGGCATGTTGCTACCTCCGAAATCAATAGTAGTATTAGTTTCATTTAACAACGTACGTCTTGCCAGAACCATCAACGCAGCTTGGCAGAATATTCCTACCCTCCATATACACACGTACACGCAACAGTGAATACGTTTCCAGCTTTCATTGAAATCAGCTTTTGAAAGATCGTGTATATGAGATCATTCTAATAGTGTTCCATACTCGATTCGTTAGTTTATCGGACACCATCTGCTGTTCCTTGAAAATTTAAACGCGGTGTACCCTCAGTTTAAATCCTTTTCGAAGTCAACCAATATAGCTTGCTTGCTGTATCTCCTGAGCAACACTTTGAGCCTAGAAAGCAGAAAAGAGTCGAAAGAGAAATCACGGTGGGTGGTTAATTAAGCTCGAAAATAAATTTGCGGGTTTTTACAACGCCGACTACTAAACTATGGAAGCACACAGTTATGGAACCGCGTGTCTCGGTTTGTTTTCCGCCTAAATGCGCTCATTAACCTATTTGAACAGGATAAAAAAAATGCTATTTTGTTAACCTTTCAAATGTTATCGGTGCTTTCTTTTCTGCTTGTGAACACGTTCATCGTTGACCGGGTACGAATTCGCAGCCCAACATTCTGCCATCGGGCAGAGTCCCCGTACGTAGCGTGCACCTCGGTGTTAATTTGCGTAGAAATGTATATATATATATATATATATATATATATATATGTGATTTTTGATAGGTGGCACATATTTTCCCTGTTGTCGACTTGTATGAGATGCAGCTGATCGTATCCAATATAATCTTGCTCTAGGCGATTCGCAGTTAGCTTCAGACCCTACCAGTTAATGCTGTGTTATTATGATGACGTTATTATGGGCAGGCTGGAAACACTGACCCGTGGTATCGAATCGTTTTCGAGCATTTCGTCGAGCGGTGTCCCGCATTTCGCCTCAACAATTGCGCCAGTTCTATGTCAACGATCATGAACCATCTATATACCTTCACTTTTCACTAAATTTCATAGCCAGCTTATATGTTGAACATCGTTCCTGATAACAACCTAGCTAGTAATCGCTTAACGGGAAACGAAGAAAAGAAACAGGCGACAGGATAAAAATTCGCGAACAGCGAGAATATCTTCCGTGAAAAATGCTCTAAATGATCACTGCAGCATTGGACACAACAGAGGAAATCTTCCGGCCGTGTCCTAAATGTAGTCGCCTGTGGGTACCGCGCCGAAATAGGGTAGCAGCCATAACAGCAGTGGCAGTAGCTGGACCAGAAGAAATTGAGCGCGCGCTCAACAGAGCCTCGCAGCGCTTTTGGCCAGCAATGGACGCAATCCTTCCATTGACAGCTGCTGTTCTTGTTACAACTGACACTGCTGCAATAGAACAGGGAGGATGGGGCGAGGCTCAACGTACCATTGCAATTCAATGGCTGCTCGTCTGTCTGTTTGTTTGGCTGACGGCGTCGCTGGCGCTGGTGACGGAGCAACATGGGCGCGGACGCTTAATAGCGACAGCCGCCAACTACCCTAGCGATACGGCGACGGCCGGCCAGGGTCATTTCTGCTGTTGTTTCTTTCTCCAAGCTGCTGAGGGTCGAGCCATGTGCTGGCGACGGCCACTGCTGGCGTCAACTGAATCGACTGACACATAAGACCAATAAGCAAATTAGCCAGGTGCGGACATACGGAGAGGCACCGGCTGAGAGAAGAGGCACCTATGAACATCGCTGTTTCGCTTGCTCAAGAGTAGGAGTAGTCTACGATCGTCTACATTCCCACCGCTAGGATAGCATGACGGGCAATGGCGACTGAGACATTGTAACAACAAAAGACATTCGTAGGAGCAGCGTTGCTGTTTGGCAACTGCAGGAAACCCCTTTCCTGCTCTTCTGCCTCGTATGGTAGCTGCGGCGGGCGCTCCGCTGCCTTTCGCATGGTGCTTGTACCGCCGCCGCCGCCGCCGCCGCCGCCGCCGTGATTGTCAGAGCAGAAGCGAACGAACGCTGAGACGGAAATAACGAGAATTCAACGACGTCACCCAAAGTAGCAACAAAACCATTGGCGCGGCAATAGACAGCTCGCTACACACACAACAACAATAAGAACTCCGTTGATTTTCTGCTGCGGCTGTCGCTGCTTCTTCCCTTCAATAGCAACTGAATTTTTTTCTCAAATTTGACGGTTGCCGGCTGATGCCGCAATAAACACTGCCGCAATCGTGGCGATAGACTGACCACAGCATCGAACAGACGCACCGACTCGTCCGCAGGCAGACCAACGGACAGGCCGCAGTAGATGGCGGATGGTAAATGCCCCGCGTGAGACGTCGCTGGGGCAGTTGTTGCAGAGAGACGTACAAACCGTTTGCCAACATCTGACGCACCTAAATTACACGAAGCCGTGGTAACGTTTGCAGGTGCCGTTTGAATAGACGAAAACGAAGAAAGAGTAGACGACGGCTGGCTGTGCATAGGAAGTTGCCTGTGATCTTTTGCGATCTTACGGAACAGTTAGTGGGTTCTTTACGTTCGACGTGAACGTAAAAAACGTGCATTTGTATGTTGTCTGAATGCATATGAACGGAAGTGTAGGGAGATGGTGCAGTGAGAACAATGTGAAATCGGGCAACTCTGACTGTCGAACGGTACCATAGTTTATCCACGGAGGAAGCGAAAGTTAAGAGTTTCCGTTTGTTACTTCGTAATAACTCCAGCAGTGTCTTAATTTTACTAGTGAAAGACAAGGGACGACTTCTGAGGATATAGTTTTTCGAAACTGGTAAGTACAAATCACCAGGCCGGCCAAGCCGAGCTATTGGTGGCCTAATAAATTAAGGAAACGTTACAATTATCTACTGTCAGATCGCGAGATTTAAAGATGCGTAAACAGTACGTTCCCAGTTTAGAGATAGCTCTCCACTGAAACGTAGAAAACATCGCTCTTTGCGCTCTGGCTAAAGCCATATAAGGCAGGGTAGCAGTCGACCTTTTACGTATATACATATTGTGAATTTTCTTACGTGTAAATAAACAGCTGTACTCTTAACTGTACTTCAACCGGGCGGTCCTTCAACGAGAACAATTTCGGTTCGTCGTCATAAATATGATCACTATATTCTATCTAATGATATTCTCGAAATAAAAGATTTTTGACAGTATATGTATATTGAAATTGTTGCCAGTGATTGACGGCAAAGTTGATGCAGGTTTATGTATCAGCAAGAACGTATATTCATTTTATCTCACACAGGAAATCATAGATATTGGTTGCACGTAATTGTTTGCACTACATAGAGCGCAATTATACTTTTTTTTCTAGTTTTAAAACCTCACTATTTTATTTTTCCATGTATAGTATTCGAGTATAGCGATGTATATTATGATATACGTATCATCATTTAATTAATGATACTGCTGCTGCTGCTGCTGCTGCTGTTTACCTATGACCGAAAAGCTTTTTTTGTTGTTTAGCGAGCGAGGGATTCTCCCACTGACCAGAAAGGCCAATTTGCTTGGTCGAATAGGTGACAATCGGGTATAGCTGAATGCTACATATGCTGTTTCCATCGATAGGCTCCTACTGTTCGTGGCCGTAGTAAAGAGCTGTCCAATTGTACATCTTTACGGCATCGTCGACACGTCCTCATTAGGACATTGCATCGACTTGTCCGTCGGTACGACTATTTGTCATAGAAAAATCCTACGGAAAATCAATACTTTTTGTCCAATCAACAATATACTAAACATAACACGATCGAGTCTTTCATTGCTTTAACGCCTACACTGCGTATCCGCTTTTACCAGCGGATTAGACTAATTGCATCTAAATTATGATCATAGTTAACGATAAATAAAAGGACAACGCCAGGTAACGGTGGCTGAAGCTGACTGAAGGTCGGTAGTGATAGATGACAGTCCCGAAATGGCATGCCTTGGTGGCAATGTTCTCTGATTACGTAATAAAGGTTCAGTCCGGAGACATAAGGGAAGACCTAATTCACAAAGCTGTCCTATTTAGCTAGCAGGGTTTAATTGAATGCAGGTAGAACATTTAAATATGAGCATAAGGCTTACGCTTTTTATTTAGGCTTACGCATTGTTTTATCCATGTAAGATTTTGATCAACTAAAATTGAACATTTCTAAACTCACTTGCGAGATATTTTTCTTTAACAATAGAGGTATAACCCAAAAGTGATATGTATTGCTCAACTATGTTTCATACTAGCTTTACAAGATTTCAGATTGAAAGTTCTAAGACGGCTACAAAGTACTTAATGTACAAAAAGTCTAGAAATAAAAAATCCCGCAATATTAGAATGCGTAGGCTTCGCTTTATAAGCGCCTAAGGCCGTATTCGAACAGAGGCGATCGTATATACGTATAGGGAGAGAAAGAGGACGATGACGACGAAGCTGTTGCTCAATTGTATACTTGTGTATGCGTTGATCGTTCTTGTTATATCAGCATGCAAAAATCCAGCTTGTCTTGTTAATGTTTCAACATTATTTTCTGCGCTTAGCTTCAACACGTAGCTGAAAGCCTGGTTTTTTTCCTCACGGCAGAAGATCATCTTCACGGGTCGAATATTGCTCAATACGTGTCGGTGCGTGAGTCAAATCAACGCTTACCTATGGTCGAAAGATAGGCACACATTCATATAAATGAAACGTAGGACAAATCTTTTCCGCGTTGTGCTGATTGAACATAAGTCTGCCTGTTTCAACGGCCGTGCAAAACCTTTTTGTAATTATTGATAGTTACCAAAAGCGAGCCTGATACGCAGTCCAAGTCACCTTCCTGAATACTGTTCATCCAGTGCTTTAATTTAGCTAGTAATAAATATCTGTTATCGATTAGTAGGACGCATGGCGCTGGCGGAGCTGGAGAACGTGCCTTGCTTCGAATCTCTGTGCCATAGAGGGTACAAGCTCTATACGAATTTAGACAGAAGTGAAGACTAACTTTAATCAAGCTGTGGCAGTAGATATATTGGTATTGCTATTGCTTTTGAAGCTGGTCCTTTACGCGAGGGGCCAGCACCATGCTAAACAAACAAACAAACAAAGGTGAAGCTTTTCGATAAAGCTTCAAAAAGGCATTGAATAACAAATACTGTCTAACATTTAGGTTAGGCGATAATTTAAAGAGAAATCATATTTAACTCAAAACGAGCATCGCTTATGCAAAACGGATTAATTTGGTTGCCCATGCCTTGGCCAGGCGAAGATGGCTCATATTTAATGACGGTTTTAAGTGGATTGTAACAGGTGGGAGTCTGAGAATATATGGAGTCACTGATCAAAATTACGGAATACGTTTTTTCAGCCTTTGTACGACTCGATTTCTATGATATTGCCGATAGTTGCATTATGTGGGCATCTTCCGGCAGACCACAATACATCTGTGATGATGTGTTTGCTTTTCCCTTAGAAGAACATATGCGTCCCTAACATGTCACCCAGCTACTTCTACGAAAGTGTTTGAAATTGTTATTATTTTTCGTTTGCTCACTGACACCGTCGTCATCGGTGAGCAGACGTCCCAGTTTGCTCTTTCCCAAGAAAACCGATGTACTACAAATTAGCATATGAGCTCCATGCACGCTAACGAAATTTACACAGGTCCACCAGAGTTGACGATGCCCGACACTCGACTTTGATACTGGTCGAAGATCACCATGTTTCTTAGTCGTTTGTTACGGTCGCAATCCTCTTCAAACAGACAGTAGTAGTTGCTGAAATGGTAGGCGCGATAAAAAGCTAGAACTGACTACAGGTTGACTATTAGAGTCGATCTCTTCAAATAAATAACTCTAATGGTTATTCAGCCGAGCGCCATCTTTGTCTAACTATAATCTATCAACAACTAAACCGATTACAATCAAACCCAGCCAAACAGATCAATGACGCAATTTAGCCCGAACCGTATATCGTTGTTGCATTTTTAAAAAAGGTTTCCACTAAAAAATAATTTTATTTATTCTGTAGCGATGACACTCGCGCTTTCATAAACTTTTACCCTGCAGCCAGCCAAACAACTTGCCTCAAGGAAATCTACGACTGCAATCCCTTTACTACAGGTACAGATTTTTAACTTGTTATGGAAAAATATAGGGCGTTTATTATTGAAAACTGCTATATATACCCTGGTTTGATCGGCGTTATACTCGATATAGTAGGCAAAGGTTTACAGTGCCTTAGCGGGAATGGTCATCGCCTCGTCTACAAAAAAAAAATTATCGTTATTTCACACACATAACTCTTATATAGATATATATGCGCCTGCTGATAGTGAATATTTATCAGAAGTGCACACAATTCCCCTTGATGAACAGGGCTAGCAGCGGCAGCAGCAACGATTCAAGCCGACGAAAGTCGGCTTCCGTAGGCGCGCATTTCGCTGGAACGAAACGGGCTCGTGTGGGTGGGTAGGTGGCCTACGAAGAGGTGGGAAAATACCAACGACAATAATAGCAACAACTAAACAACGAAAGAAAAAGTAAATGCTATAGTACCAACGAAAGGACACGGAAACAGCGAAGCAGGCGAGCTGGCGTTACTGCTGCTGATGATGTCACGGCAGTAGAGATGGTGGTGAACGGCTTGTGGCCGGCAAAATGACAAAGGGTATGGTCGCGACGACGCTCGTAGTAATTCTTACAGTGATGTATACGAGTTTAATTATATATGTAACGATTGTTCATTTGCAGTTTGTTCATTAGTATTCTGTTACGTAAAAGAAAATAAGCTCTGATCGGTGAAATACGTTCTCAACTTCTTCCTTCACTTTGCTTTGATTTGAACCTCTTGCGTTTGGATTCGAAAGTAAAAGGTACCAAAAACAATACCGTGTATATACACTATCCGTGTTTACTCAATGTAACCACTATCCACCCTTACTAAGTCTTTAATTAGGGATCTAGACCACAAAATAGTCAATTTCAAAATATTATTCTTTTTAATCACAAGTTTTTTTTTTTTTTTTTTTTTTTTTTTTTAGTAGCTAGAGTGCGCCGCGCGATATTGGTACGTATAAGCTCAGCTCACATACAAAAAGTTTCAACAAAGTTAACAAATTCTAGCTGGCTGATGACAGGTCAGAAATTCTGAAAATGTAAGGCTCAAACTGATCAAAAAATGAAGGCATTAAGCCTAAACTTTATTGAGGATTTTCCGAATTGCCTTAGAAAAATCTTGCTCGGATTCTTTCAGCTCGCGTTGCAATGTAAAATGTCGACGTTGGCCAACAAAGAAGCTTTTAAGCTCTTGCTGAGCGTTCGTCCAGTGCATAAAGTATATAGCTGACCTTCGTTCAGATTCAAAGAACCATGCACAAATATATATATATATATATATATATATATATATATATATATATATGTATCACAGCTCTGTTAGAACGATGAAATTATTTCCAGCTTCTGTTAGATAGACGTTTCTGATTGTTCTTAACAATTTTAATCATCAAAGTTAATCACTACCATTCTTCAATATGCTTTTATGAAGCGTGTTCTCACTCTATGAAACTAATGGTTTCCTTTGCAAACGCCACCAGCCAAGCCCGATGAAAGAGCAAAACGTTTCACGTTTATTTTCGAGCATCATCTGTAAATCAAAAGGAATTTTATATATATATATATATATATATATATAAAAAAAAAAAAAAAAAATGGTTACTTTTACAATAGATAGCGTATGAATGTTACGTAGTTGTTGTTTCATTTTCTAATTTGTTCTCTGATCTTGTCGTAGCAGTAGCCTACCGTCAGCACCAAAAG